CTCTAACTCTCCATTTAATAACTCTCCTCTCCTATTTTTAACTGACAAATCCATTTGTTCTCTAGGCTTTCTTAACTTGTTAATCTCACTCCAAAACTTTTTCTTATTTTCAACAAAATTTGTTGATAACATCTCACCCACTCTCTCATTTGCTCTCTTTTTACATTGCTTCACCACTCTCTTAACCTCACTCTTTTTCTCCATATACTCTTCCCTCCTTGCATCACTTCTACTTTGTAAAAAAACTTCTCATATGCTAACTTTTTCTCCCCTACTACTCTCTTTACATCATCATTCCACCAATCTTTATTTAGTACATGTGCATAGTATACAGGCCTAGCTGACATCAACGACATACTACTATATAGAAATCCCCTTTTTATGCAGAGCATTTCAAGCAAATTAGGTCAGTTTTGTCCCAGGATGTGACCCACACCAGTCAACTAACACCCAGGTATCCATTTTACTGATGGTGAACACAGACAACCAGTGTAAGGAAACACGTCCGATGTTTCCACCCCTTTACCAGGAATCAAACCCGGACCCTCACCGTGTGAAGCAAGACCTTTTGCCAAGAGCTTGTGTCAAGTATGTCACATCTATGTTTAGAATCTGAAGTTAACTATGCATCATTATATAAATGTTATATCTGTTGATGAATGAAACACATGCAACATCTGAGCATATTTAGTTTTTTAAGCCATTACAGAAATTATGTACATACTGGAGATTGTGGAAGAAGAGATATACTGAAGACTGGAAGAGATATACTGGAGACACTGAAAGAGATAATATACCAGAGACAGTGGAAGATGAGATAATATAGTAGACAGTGGAAGGAGAGATAATATAGTAGAGACAGTGGAAGGAGAGATAATACTGAAGAGACAGTGGAAGGAGAGGTAATATAGCAGAGACAGTGGAAGGAGTGGAGAGTTAAGTTTAAATGTACATACAGAACAATTTCAACTTTGTTTAGAAATAAATAAGGTTGCAGCACTGATGAGTGATGGTAGTGTCTCTGCTTCTTAGAAACACACTGTCTTGGTGATGAAACACTCTTGGTGAAAATGGTAGTGTGTCTGCTTCTTTGAAACACACTGTCTTGGTGAAAAATGCCCAGTGTTAAAAATAATATTACACAATGTGACCGACCCCTTTAAGTGTTGGTCACGTAGAAATTCATCAGCGAGATCAATTTCAGCGCCATAGATCTACGCATATATCACAGCTCCTTAAAATTTGGTATGAGGTCTGGGAAGCATAGGTATGAGAGAATGGGTCTGCAAGGTGGGTCTGTGCAGTATACAAAACAATCCCAGCCTTTGCAGTGCATCATGGGACCTGCACGTTAGTCCACCATTGTCCACCATGGTGTGCTAACATTCTCTTACTCTTAAGTGGATTAACATGTTAATCAAAGACAACTGCAATAGTGAGGATAGTGATTATGGAATGGAGTTCTATGGATCTGAGATGAAGATAACCAATTAACATGGGAAATGCAGGGCATAATACTATTTTAAAAATCCTTTACCTCTGGCCTGAGTGCATCCATAGCACAAACAAAAACTAACATTCTCCCGAAGTTTGAGTACCAGTCATAGTAGTAGTAATGATAACAGTGGGGATGAGCTTAATTTCATGGAAACTATGTATATTTGCCTGTAAAGTGTTAATACATACATTGGTGCACATAGTCTGGTACTGTGTCTAGGGCTATCCTCAAGGGTTGTGTTAAATCACAGAAGCCAACACTAGCCAGTTATAGCAATAGAGAGTATGGTGGTGCTGAACTTGGTAATGGTAGTGCATCACAGGCAGTGCCAATGACACATGGGGCTGCTGAGGTTATGACAGATGTTTGCAGCACCAGCCACAACCATGAGAGGAAGTCATGTCCCCAAACCAACATCCCACCATTCACCATGTCCACCCTACACACACAGCCAACACCACCAGTCAGACAACCAATGCCACAAAACCAGCAACCACCACCAGAATGCATCTGGGATTGGCAGGAAGCTGTAATATTCTGAATGCCTAAAATATGTACCAGGTCAAGACAGGTAACAAAACCATACACGTATATCCCGACTTCTCTGTCATCAACTTCATACAGAAACACCAGGTCACAACTGCAGCATAACACATTGCCGCTGAACTGATGACCAAATAATACCATTTCATTTGAGGCATGGTAATCACTTTCAAATTGTATTTCCTGCTACCGATAAGAAATGGCCTCAGAAGATGTCTGTGTTCACACCATAAAATGACTTCTCATCACAAAGATACACAGTATGCGTGTGTGAAGAATGAGAAACAGCACTCTGCATGTAGCTATGCTTCAAGCATTTCCACACACACACACACACACACACACACACACACACCACACACACACACACACACAACACAAAACAGTTGAAACAGCATTACCAGTACCTGTCATGTGTGTGTACATATGCTAGAACTGTAGAAAACTAAAGCAGACAGAAAAGAGTGTATAAACAGATCTACAGGTGACAATTTAGTGTGACGAATTTGAGGTATAATGAGAAATAACTAAACATCCATGCCCACAAAAGCAGCCTTCTAGCCCACATATTTTACAACAAAAAATGGAAAAAAGTGAAAAAAAAAAAAAAATATACAATAAATATTACAATACAGATTATTTGGGAATGGACGTGTCAGCAGATGGGTCTATGAACGACAAGGTGAACCATAGAATTGATTAGGGAAAAATAGGCGAATGGTGCACTGAGGAGTCTGTGGAGACAAAGAACATTATCCATGGAAGCAAAGAGAGAAATGTATGAGAGTATAGTTACACCAACATTCTCTTATATGGGTGTGAAGCATGAATGGTGAACGCTGCAACAAAGAGAAGACTACAGGCAGTAGAAATGTCATGTCTGAGGGCAGCGTGGTGTGAATATAATGCAAAGAATCCGTAGTTTGGAAATTAGGAGGAGGTGTAGGGTTACTAAAAGTGTTATCCAGAGGGCTGAGGAGGGTTGTTGAGGGGGTTTGGACATTTAAATAGGATGGAATGAGATAGAATGACTTGGAGAGCGTTTAACTCTTAAACTGTCCAAGCAGATCTACGTTCACATGCGTAGTGCTCCAAAACCAGATCTACGTTTCTTTTACATATTTTCAAATATAACAAAAAAGAAAAAAAGTAGATCAAAGGATTTTTTACACGTTTTCAAATGTCAAAAAAAAAAAAAGATATACTTTTTTACATACTTTCAAATGTCGAAAAAACATAGATCTACGTTTGGACAGTTTAAGGGTTAAATCTGTAGTGGAAGGAAGGCAGGGTAGGGGTCGGCCAAGGAAAGTTGGTGGGAGGGGGTAAAGGAGGTTTTGTATGCAAGGGGCTTGGACTTCCAGCAAGCATGTGTGAGCGTGTTAGATAGGAAAAAGTAGAGACAAATGATTTTTAGGGCTTGACATGCTGTTGGAGCGTGAGCAAGGTAACATTTATGAAGAGATTCAGAGAAACAAGCAAGAGGTGGAAAGTACGTACAGTGCCTGCACTCTGAAGGATTGGTGCTAATGTTGTAGTTTTATAACTGTAGTGTAAGCACACCTCTGGCAAGACAGTGATGGAGCGAATGATTTAAGTATTTCTTTTTCAGGTCACCCTGCCTTGGTAGGAAATGGTCAATTTGTTAATAAATAAAAAATTACAATACACAGCATGACATATAGGTGAGTACAAGTAGGAAGCATGTCTGTCTTGCACTCAGCAGATGGAGGATCAAGTCTACACCACATCTTGCACTGAATAACCCACATAGGTTTAGTGCTTAACATAAATTATAATTACATAATACACAGCAAATGGCACCACCCAATGTTGCTGTCATGGTATCAACAACCTTCAACTGCACATCTTCATAATTCTTTAAGTACTGAACTGCACTTTAGAAGAGTGCACACTTAATTTTAATTTTTTTTTGGGGGGAGGGGGGGGGGGAATTATGAAAAAAGGGGCATTTAAATTTAGCATTCGTCAACAGTTTAAGGGTTAAGTAAAACTTTGCCCAAAACATCTTCATGCTTCTCCAAAATATTACAATCTTGTTCAGTTAACAATTTAAGTTAGCAAGACAACAGTATATCATGTCAAATACAGCCAAGTGCATCTTAACATATCATGCAGACTTCAAAATCAATCATTTTTTTTATTAACACACTGGCCATTTACCACCATGGCAGGGTGACCTGAAAAAGAAAAAACACTTTCATCATCATTCACTCCATCACTTCCTTGCTAGAGGTATGCCCACACTACAATTAAAATAACTGCAGCATACCTCCTTCAGAGTGCAGGCTTTGTACTTCCCACCTCCAGAACCCAAGTGTAGTTAACCAGTTTCCCTGAATCCCTGCACGGTGCCACAAAAGCCATTTGTCTCCACTCGCTCCTATCTAACACACTTACGCACGCTTGCTGAAAGTCCAAGTCCCTCCCTCCCCCGCCCTGCGACCTTTCCTAGGACAACCCCTACCCCGCTTTCCTTACACTACAGATTTATGTGCCCTCCAAGTCATTCTATTTTGTTTTATCCTCTCTAAATATTCAAACCACTTCAACACCCCCCTCCTCTGCCCTCTGGATAATACTTTTAGAACCCTGCACCTCCTTTTCATCTCAAAGCTTCAGATTCTCTGCATTATATTCACACCACACATTGCCCTCAGACAACATCTCCACTGCCTCCAGCCTTCTCCTTATTGCAACATTCACCAACCACTCATGCTTCATACCTATGTAAGTGTTGGTACCACTATACAGTACTCTCATACATTCCTCCCTTTGCTTCCATAGATAACATTCTTTGTCTCCAGAGACTCCTCAGTGCTCCACTTATCTTTTCCCCCCCTCATTAATTATATGACTCACCTCGTCTTTCATAGATCCACCTGCTGAAAAGTCAACTCCCAAATATCAGAATCAGTTAGTAATGGTAAACACTTACTTTTGATACTGCAAAAGCCCAGCAAACCCCACTGAGGTGCTAGGTTGTAGGCTGCGTAAGCCATCCTCGTCCTTGAAATGTAAAGCAAAATTTACTTTCCATGAAACAGACAGGCATTACATTATGTTCATGTTTATCATACATTGGGAAGCCAGAGGTATGCAATATTTCTCGGGCCAACCTATGAATAAACATACCTCAATATATAGTTCATTTATGTAAAAGTCCAATGAAATGGACCTCCATCAAGTGAATATCAGCAAAAATGGATAAAAAATCTGGCCAGATGAAAGCTCAACATGTACATTTAATGGGGCACCTGATTAAAATAGCCATAATAAAGCTTACTCTAGGGTCTTGTTAGTGATAACTAAAATAATAAAGCTGACTCTAGGGTAGTGTTAGTGATAACTAACATAATAAAGCTGACTCTAGGGTAGTTAGTGATAACATAATAAAGCTTACTCTAGGGTCTTATTGGTGATGACTAGCAAAGTTTACTCTAGGGTGTTGTTAGTGACAACTAAGATAAAGTATACTCTAGTAATAACTTCTTGAAAGACATGTCAGCATGGTATGACAGCTGGGAAAAAAAAAGATGGGTGGTAGGGACAGGGCTGTCTTGGAGAGTGCTCCTGAGGGTGCTAGTGCTGAGGGTGCTAGTGTTGTCCTGGAGGAAAGTGCTCCAGAGGCTCCTAGTGATGTCTTAGAAGATATCGCTCGTGGGGTACTAGTGTTGTCCTGGAGGACACTGAAGACAACTTTATTCAGTCCACAGAGGTTCAAAATGGAGAAACTGCTGTAGATGGATGAAAATGAGATGATGCCTCAGGGAACAGTGTCAACACACTACCAACAAAACGTGGTGGAAGCACTGATGTCCATACAGGGGTAAAAGATATTGAGGAAAAAAAAATGCACTTGCAGTGAATGCAGCTACAATAAATCCTAGCAAACAGAAGTACAATCTATGTAAATACTATGTCTTGGGTATTTGCAAGTATGGTATATCTGGTAAAACAGGTGGGAAATGCACTTTTGATCAACCCAAAAAATGCCGCATCCACGTGACAACAGTAGAGTGCAACTTCCCCTCTTGCAACTTATTTCACCCAGAAATGTATCACTTATCAATCCATGAAAGAAAATGCTACAATGCATACTGCCAGGTACATCATCTTAAGGGGACTAGAAGACACAGACCAGTCAAACTATGGGAAACAAAAGAGAGGAACCACAACCTCTCTAGGGACAGGTTTTTTAGGGCCAGAAGGGAAAAAAGACTGACAAGAAATGACAATAATCCTACACCACCTAAAAACACTTCTGGAGCAGAGGCACAGACATTGGCCTCTACCCCAGAACAACAGATATTAGAGCCAGCAAATAAAACCCCCCTAAATTCCACCAATACGACATTTGCCTTAGCAAACATACAGGGTCTAAAGCCGTCAAAAAACAACAAAATTCCATACATCAAGGGACTGCTCACGGAGTCAAATGCAATGTTTGCAGCATTCACAGAGACCCACATAAAGGATCATTATGACAACGAAATATGGATCCCAGGTTATAACCTACTCCGATGCGACAGACTAAACAGGCAGCAAGGGGGAGTTGGCCTGTATGTCACAGAGTCGCTCATTTGCACAGAACTACTAAACACCTCAAATGATGTAGTTGAAGTTTTGGCGGTAAAGATCGAAAACCAAAACCTTGTCATTGTGGTAGTATACAAGTCTCCATGTGCAACTTCCCAGCAATTCCAAGAGCAGCTTGAGAAAACTGACCACTGTCTAGAAAATCTCCCAACTCCTGCCCCAAACATCTTACTACTAGGAGATTTCAACCTGAGACACCTAAAATGGAGGAGTATAGCAAACAATATTTTAACAATCTTCGAAAAATTAATTCATAAACGAATCTACTCCTACCTTATCTCCCAAAACATACTCAACCCCTGCCAATTTGGATTCAGGCCTAATAAAAATACTAATGATGCTATTATACACATGCTAGAACATATATACACTGCAATAGAGAAAAAAGAAGTCCCACTGGGGATCTTCAATGACTTACGTAAAGCTTTTGATACAGTTGACAAGAGGACTCCAATAGCAATAGTGAGGATAAATTACCAAAAACAACTGGTGGGAGCTCCATTGTTGGTGCTAGGGAGGATAGAAGTAAGACAGGGAAACATGCACCAACAGGGGAATACAGTCACAGAAACCCAAGGCAAGCGGAAACCAAGCCTGTGCACATACTATGCACTTGGTATCTGCTGGCATGGGAAATCTGGAAAAACAGATGGGACGTGCAACTATGACCACCCTAGAAAATGCCATGCCCATATGACAACAGGAAAATGCAAACTCCCTTCCTGTAAGCTTTTTCACCCTGAAATGTGTACCTCTTCAGTACAGGAAAGACTGTGCTATAACTTAAATTGCCAGGCATACCATCTAAAGGGGACAAAAAGATACAAAACATCCAGGCCATGGGAAAACCTGGGTAGCCACAGCCACTCAAGAGGGAGAGGTTTTTTAGTGCCAGGAAGGAAAAGAAACTGGCAGGAAATGGCAGAAATCGTACACCAAGTCCAGTCATTCCTGGAGTGGAACCACAGTCGATGGCCTCCACTCCAAACCAACAGATACAGATACTAATGCCGGAAAAAAAATCCCCCCCCAGTACCAACAATACCACCAGTCCGATAACATTCTTCTTTGCAAATATACAGGGTCTAAAGCCAGCAACAAACAACAAAATACCTTTCATCCGTGGACTGCTTGCAGAGGCAAAGGCAATGTTCGCGGCTTTCACTGAGACCCACATAAAGGATCACTTGGACAACGAAATATGGATCCCAGGTTACAACCTATACAGATGTGACAGAGTGAACAGGCAAAAGGGGGGTTGTTGGCCTGTACATTGCAGAGTCACTTGTTTGCACAGAACTGCTTAATGCCTCAAATGACGTAGTGGAAGTTTTAGCAGTAAAGGTCGAGAACCAAAACCTAGTCATTGTGGTAGTCTACAAGCCTCCGGATGCAACATCCCAGCAATTCCAGGAACAGCTGTTAAAAATTGACCACTGTCTGGAAAAATCTTCCAGCTCCTGCACCCAACATCTTGCTCCTGGGGGATTTCAACTTAAGGCACCTAAAATGGAGGAATATAGCAAATAATATTGTTGCAGTAATAACACCAGGAGGCAGCTCTGATGAAAACTCACACTCACACGAGCTTTTAAATCTCTGCACAAAATTCAATTTAAACCAGCAAATAATAGAGCCTACTAGACTGGAGAATACACTAGACCTCATATTCACTAACAATGATGATCTGATAAGAAATGTCACCATATCAAAAACAATATACTCAGATCACAACATAATTGAGGTTCAGACATGTATGCGTGGAGCCCCAGACCGACAAAATGAGACTAGTCACGAGGGAGCATTCACCAAATTCAACTTCAATAACAAAAACATAGTGGGACCAAGTAAACCAAGTCCTAACCGATATAAGCTGGGAAGATATACTAAGCAACACAGACCCCAACTTATGCCTAGAACAGATTAACTCGGTAGCACTCGATGTATGCACAAGGCTTATTCCTCTAAGAAAAAGGAGGAGTAGATGTAAAACAGAAAGAGACAGGCGCTCCCTTTACAGGCGACGGAAAAGAATAACAGAGCGGCTAAAAGAGGTCAATATATCTGAAATGCGTAGGGAGACACTGGTCAGAGAAATAGCAAGCATCGAACTTAAGCTAAAAGAATCCTTTAGGAGTCAGGAATCGCGGGAAGAACTAAAAGCTATAAATGAAATCGAAAGAAACCCAAAGTATTTCTTCTCCTATGCCAAATCAAAATCGAGAACAATGCCCAGTATTGGGCCCCTACTTAAAACAAGATGGGTCCTACACAGATGACAGCAAGGAAATGAGTGAGCTACTCAAGTCCCAATATGACTCAGTTTTTAGCAAGCCGCTAACCAGACTGAGAGTCGAAGATCAAAATGAATTTTTAATGAGAGAGCCACAAAATTTGATTAACACAAGCCTTCCGATGTTATCCTGACGCCAAATGACTTCGAACAGGCGATAAATGACATGCTCCATGCACTCTGCCCCAGGGCCAGACTCATGGAACTGTGTTCATCAAGAACTGCAAGAAGCCCCTATCACGAGCCTTTTCCATCCTATGGAGAGGGAGCATGGACACGGGGGTCGTCCCTCAGTTACTAAAACAACAGACATAGCCCCACTCCACAAAGGGGGCAGTAAAGCAACAGCAAGAACTAAGACCAATAGCACTAACATCCCATATCATAAAAATCTTTGAAAGGGTCCTAAGAAGCAAGATCACCACCCATCTAGAAACCCATCAGTTACACAACCCAGGGCAACATGGGTTTAGAACAGGTCGCTCCTGTCTGTCTCAACTACTGGATCACTACGACAAGGTCCTAAATGCACTAGAAGACAAAAGAATGCAGATGTAATATATACAGACTTTGCAAAAAAGCCTTCGACAAGTGTGACATGGCGTAATAGCGCACAAAATGCGCGCTAAAGGAATAACAGGAAAAGTCGGTCGATGGATCTATAATTTCCTCACTAACAGAACACAGAGAGTAGTCGTCAACAGAGTAAAGTCCGAGGCAGCTACGGTGAAAAGCTCTGTTCCACAAGGCACAGTACTAGCTCCCATCTTGTTCCTCATCCTCATATCCGACATAGACAAGGATGTCAGCCACAGCACGTGTCTTCCTTTGCAGATGACACCCGAATCTGCATGACAGTGTCTTCCATTGCAGACACTGCAAGGCTCCAGGCGGACATCAACCAAATCTTTCAGTGGGCTGCAGAAAACAATATGAAGTTCAACGATGAGAAATTTCAATTACTCAGATATGGTAAACATGAGGAAATTAAATCTTCATCAGAGTACAAAACAAATTCTGGCCACAAAATAGAGCGAAACACCAACGTCAAAGACCTGGGAGTGATTATGTCGGAGGATCTCACCTTCAAGGACCATAACATTGTATCAATCGCATC